AGCCACGTTCCCAAACGACCTCCCCCTCCCCACTTTTAAGAAAGGGGGCTGTCCCCTTAAAAACGTGGGTCGTCTTCATTTTAAAATCAACGCGGGGCCTTTACAGAAAATAAATAGCTTATTTTTTTCTTCCCTCTGGCTATTTTCCTGCGATTTGGGGAGAGGAGAGGGTTGATTCTGCAGCTTGGGGGAGGGTCGTGAAAATGGGTCGCCCCTGGTCGGGAGAGGACCCTCGCCCTGTGCCTTGGATTTGAGGGGTGGGCGAGGGAAAGAAGGGAGAAAGGAGCGCGTTTTTGTGTTTTTTTTGCCAAGCGTGGGAAATCTCGAGGTGGGGGGTCGTATTAAAATAGGAATCCGCACGTTAGTTATCAATGGAATTATTTCTTATTAATGCGCGCCATCTTCTTTCTATTTCAATAAGGGCCCTCGGGTTCATATCGATCACGCTATTTTAAATAATTATAATTATTAACGAGCCAATATCTACAGATTCTCAGTCATTCGGGTCATCCTTGTCCCAAAGATGCTTTTTTTAATTATTTTTTTTCGTCTACGAGGCAACTGGACTTTCTTGTTTTTCTCTGAAGACCTTTCGCTTCTTCAGAAGCTTCTTTGGGTGAGAAGCGAAACGTCTTCAAAAGAAAACAAGAAAGTCCAGTTGCCTCGCGGAGAATTAAAAAAAAAGGCACCTTTGGGACTAACCAGCCAACAGTTCTTGCCTTGTTGTCTTGCATCCTGTTCAACCGGTCCTTCCACTTAGGCCAGGATTATAAGCCCATTTCACGGATGGACACTGAGGCCAGAGAACGAAAGACTGAATTCTGGCAGGGAGCGGTGACCCCCCCCTCTCTCTCTCTCGGGATTGGGGCTCACGCTTAACTACTCTTCCAAGTTAGCCTACCTCGCAGGGCTGGGGTGAGGATAAGACGAGGAGAGGGAGCAGCAGGTCGGTCAGGCTGGCCTAAAGAATTTCTGTAGAAATGTCCCGTGTTAAAATTGTGTGAATTTGGATGCCTCGAGGACGTGTCCCAAAAAAAAACCGGGGTGGGGGGACACGTTTGTTTGAGCCAGTTTTACAGTGAGCTGCGGAATTGTATCCAGAGCCCGGGCTGCGTTGACTACGCCAGCAAACTTTCTTAAAATTATTATTATTATTATTTTTATTTTATATGACGTTCCCACCAAGAAAAGATAAAACGGCGCCGCAGCCAAACCGATTCGGGATTCGCGGTGGTTCGTTTGGGGGAGTTAAGAGGGTCTTTGGACCCCCCCCCTCTGCTCCCGGGACAGACCAGGGGAATCTGGGATTGCAATCCCCAGATAAGGGGTTTTTTCCAGATTGGGGAGGGGGCACTGAAACACACCCCCTTTCTAGGAGAGGGTCGTTTCCCGCGCCCGTTTGCGCTCCTTCCCTCTTCCCTTCCGTCTCCCTCTTTCAGTCCCTCTCTCCTCGCCCAGGGCTTCTTCAAGAGGACCGTGCAGAACAACAAGCACTACACGTGTACCGAGACCCAGAACTGCAAGATCGACAAGACGCAGCGGAAGAGGTGTCCTTACTGCCGTTTCCAGAAGTGCCTGGCCGTGGGGATGCGGCTGGAAGGTGAGCGCTCTGGGTCTGCCTTGGGGGGGGGAAGGAACGGGGGTGGGCGTCCTTGCCTTCGCTGGGGGGCCGTGGGAAGGAGGGAGAGCCCCTCTAGCTTTACTCCCACGGAGGGCAGCCTCGGCCCGCGGGGGGGGTGGGGTGGACGTGGGCAGGCAAGCAACTCAGCTGCGCCGGCGGCGAGTCGGCCTTGGGAAGCAGAGAAAACGAAAGTGCTTCCCCGGGCGGGAGAAAGTGGCGTCGGTGGGGAGGGAAGGAGGGAGGCCATCTGCCCGAGCTTTCTCGCCTGGATCCCCCCAACAGGGTCCCCCCCCAAACGTTTGGGGACGGGCCGGAGGTGAGAGAAGGCCAGGCACTCTGCCCATGTTTAGGACACTCGAAACGTCCCAAAGGTGCTTTTTTCAGAGGCAACTGGACTTCTCTCTCTCTCTCTCTCTCTCTCTCTCTCTCTCTCTCTCTC